TAGCCGTATGAATCACAGGGTCCTGAGGGGAGCTGGACGAGAAGGGGGGTGGTCGTAAAGGAGCCACTCTCAGTGCTCAGCCGGAGAATGCGTAATAATGGCGGATGGGTTCTTGTGCTACTTACACATGACCTGGATACGTCTAACATGTAGACTAGTACGAACGAGATAAAAGCCTTTCGTTTATGACCTGCTTCCGAGTAGCTTAACCCCTCCAGTATCGGGTTGGGGTGAACGGCATCGGCGTGACGAGAGCAGCACGAGCTTTCTTACGCACTTCTACGGCGAGTGCGGTCCCCTTTTTGTGAAAACCGGACTTAACGTAACCCATTGCAATGTTTTTTCCCACCGTGGGAGCGAGCGGAATGCCTGAGGTGACAACACCTAGGTGCATCTCGTGTTACCATCGTGGACAGTCGCCCAAAGATAATACGCACCTATTTCGTCCGATGTTCCGGGTGAGAGAATTTTCGCACCCTCTACAGTTGAGGACAAGGATCAGAAATCAATAAGGAATTGAATGGCTGATAATGAAACACGCACGACGCGCTGGGGCATCGTCAACGATCAATCCCACGCGCCGCCTGGGCGGCCCATTCTTCAGCTGGTCCAGAACATTCTCCGAGCCTATAAAGCCCCCTGCGACGCGGCGATCTTTTCCGATGACCCAGGAGAGACCAGCCTCGATGGGTGTCGTGCTCTCGTCCAGGTCGTTGCCATACAGACACATTCCCGCTTCCAGCCGCAGAGAATCGCGTGCGCCCAGACCGGCGAGTTGGACGGGCGACCGGAGGAGTGCCGTCGCGAGGAAAGCGGCATGGGCAGGGGGAACGGAAATCTAGCCGAGGGTCAGCAGGCAGCAAACAGTGAGGAATGTTAGGGCCGCAAATGTTGGGTCTGCATGATGATGCGGGGCCTAAAAAAAAGAGATGCAAGGGGTTTGAGACTGACCTCGAAGCCGTCCTCGCCGGTATAGCCCCCGCGTGCGACGTGCACGTTAATCCCTTCGATTGGAACAAACGCACTCCTCCCGAACGTCAAGGCACGTAAATCGTAGGACGTCAAAGCCTGCAAGTGGTCTGCCGAGGCGGGACCTTTTTTTTTTTTTTTTTCATGATTTCGGGTCAACAGGGCCGATCTCCGAACGAGGGGGATGGCATGCATACCTTGCAGGGCGAGAAGCCCCCATCCATCCAATACTTCGTGCTCCACAGGACCGTCTTTGGCGCGCTCACTAGCGTTCCACTCAGCCAGTCGTGCTTCGAACCATGCCAAGTCCTCGGTACGCCGACCGGCATTCGTGACTACGTAAAACGCGTCTGACGCGTGCTTCGTGATCACGGTATCGTCGATGATTCCCCCGCGTTCGTTGAGTAACACCGATAACGTGGACGTATACGGAGATAGAGTTGAGAGCGACGAGGGAGTCAACCACTCCAAGAACTGGGTCGCCGTGGCGCCGCGGAAGCTAGAAGGTGTTTTTCGCTCGTTCAGCGGGGCGGGGACGGATGAAGACCAGCTGGCAACGCCTACTTGGACTGTACCATGTGTCCGACGTCGAATAGTCCTACACTCTGTCGCACGTGCTGATGGCTTGCAACTAGCAGAAAATGTCAGAAACGGCAGAGGATTTGAAGAGTTGACGTGAACGGACCCTGGCCGACTTCACCGTACACCAGGGGCATATCATAGCCCGCAAAGGGTACCATCTTTGCAGCATGTTGTATGTGAAAATCATAGAGCGGTGTCCTTCTCAGAGGCTTAAGCAAGAGTATCAGAGCTGGAAGGTGAGAGGTGGCAAATAGCGCTTACGGTGTTTGCGCTCGACTCGGTTGTCATTCGACGGAGACCGATGGGTGCACATGACCGAGACAGCGAAGAACGAGGAGAACGCACAGTACTTATGAGGATGGAGCGTCGGAAGCCCATAAGTAGGAGGTGGCCACCCGTCGTTTACAAGGTTCAAGTTGCGTGACCGTTGACGTGGATATCAGCATATATGCGTAGATAAGATTAGATTCAACGACAACCGTGCTTCGAACCACACTACAATTGCGATATGCATCGTATAGACATGACAATGAAACAGGGGATTGTGGACAAAGACAGAGTGACAATGTAATGCGACAAAGTGCCTAGTACTCTCCTTCCTCTTCCGCATCTGCAGAGTCAAGCCCCACTTCTTCGTAGTCCTTCTCGAGCGCTGCGAGATCCTCCCGTGCCTCAGAAAACTCACCCTCTTCCATGCCCTCGCCAACGTACCAGTGCACGAAAGCACGCTTGGAGTAAAGCAGATCAAACTTGCGATCCAGCCGGGTCCACGCATCAGATATGGCAGTGGTATTAGACAGCACACAGACGCTCCTGGACACACGGGCAAGGTCACCATCGGGGATGTGTGCCGGTGGCTCATTGGAGATGCCAATCTTGAAGCCTGTTGGACACCAATCGACGAATCGGATAGTGCGGCGTGTCTTCAGCTGTGCAACAGCAGCGTTGACGTCCTTGGAGACGACGTCACCCCGGTAGAGCAACGCACAAGCCACTATGGTAACCTGTTCAGGAGACTGGGGCTACCGTCACTGGCAATGAATAAACGCACTGTATTTTCCCTCCATTGGATCGCAATTGATCATCTGGCTGCCACGCTGGAAGCAGGCGGTGGTGATGTTAGCGACATCGTTCGTCTCATGTTGGACTCGATCCACGGGCACGACCGGAGACAGTGTGGCAAGGGGAAAATGAATCCGCGGGAAGCTGCAAGTCAACAAACGGCCTGTTTGGGAATGTTCGTCAATAGAAATGATTAAAAATGACAAACGGGACTAGATTCGTTTGGAATTCGTTCAAATCGACGTTCAACGATCCAGAAAAGCGAAGAGAAACCGTGATAGAAGAGACAACTTGAGCGATTATTCGATTCAAATTGGCGAAGCTTGGCTGGGAAATCCCGAGGTTCTTCTTGCAGATCCCGAAGATGGCTTCATTGTCAACCTGAAACATTTGGCTCACTACAAGGCTCATGCTAAGACGATTAGCAACAATAATCGTCTCACCATAAACGAACAGTCGGCATGCTCTAGGGTCGTGTGGGTCGTCAGCACAGAGTTGTACGGTTCGACTACAGAATTTGCTAGCTGAGGTGCCGGATACACGCAGAACTCCAGTTTTGACTTTTTCCCGTAGTCGGTAGAAAGGTGTTCCAGTAAGAGAGCACCGAGACCGGAGCCAGTACCACCACCAAATGAATGGAAAACGAAGAATCCCTGGAGGCCAGAGCAGTTATCTGCAAGACGCCGAACTTTATCAAGGATGACATCGATCTTCTCTTTTCCGACAGTGTAATGACCCCGCGCATCTATCAATTCAACACATTAACACATTCCAAAATATGCCATTTTGAGAGAGAAGCTGTGTATGCTCACAGTTACTCGCCGCGTCCTCCTTCCCAGTGATCATGGTCTCCGGGTGGAAGAGTTCGCGATACTTGCCCGTTCGGACCTCGTCAATGACATTTGGTTCAAGGTCGATGTAAAGAGAACGCGGGACGTATTTTCCCGATGAGGTTTCAGAGAAAAAGGTGCTAAAGCCGTCTGCACCATTCCCTCGTACAACGTCGCTGCCCTGAAGACGACCATCTGGCTAGGGACAGTGAAGGGAGCGTCAGACTCGAGCGCGAAAGCTCTACATAGGCTGTGGGACTCACGCCCAGCCCGTGCTCAGCGGTGTATAGTTCCCCTGGGAATGCATTCAATTGACTGAGCTGATGTGGAGCATCAATGGGATGGCTTACAACAGGCGTTCCCGATCTGCACGCCAGCTTGGCCAACATGAATAGAGATGACTTCGCGCATCGACCTTTTAAAAGTAGGTTACAAGGTTACTTGGTCGTTGCGCATCGTTATTCAGACAGCGAGCACTCACAATAAAATGGGTGGTCAAGAGAGAATGGTGAAGGAAGGAAGACAAAGGTAAAAGTGGACTCCAAATCGACGCGACTTTCTCTTCTCTTCACGCGGTTCACGTCTCGATCTTCTCACGGTCATGACAGCAAGAATGGACGCGCATTTCCTGGGGTTGCACGTAAGCCAAGCAAGTGGTGAAAGACGTGCACGTTTCCGCCCTACCTTACGCCGAACCATTTTTTCTGTATCAGCCGAGCGAGCGTAACTTACCTGAACGACGTAAGATTCAGGTCTCGATATGTTCAAAATGACAGCATTGGTCTCGTTTGTCTCCTGCCTTTGCAATATTGCACCGCACATCCGTGAACTGGTCATCCGCGGAGGTCTGAAACCCGTAAAAGTGTGGCCACGCGACATGTATCATCCCGCCCTCAGAATTCGACATAGGCGGGCAAAGAAGCTATCTATCGCGATGGCTCAAGAGTATAGCGCAAGCATTTCATATCGAATTGAGCAGAACACGTACGAAAAACGCACAAATCAAAACATTCCTGTACCAGCGGTCATCACGGGATCCGATAAGCACTCAAGATTAGCTAAATTAGGCGATCGGAAGATTCATTGCATAATTATCGACACCACGCTTGAGGTACAGTACTCGGCGATGGTGCGGTGCATGTGGGTGCTCGAAAACAAACCGCATGTTCTATAGCCGAGCGAATCCCATTTTTCGCACAGCAACCAGGCACCCAGAGGTGCGGGAGTTGTGATTACACTGCTCACCGCAACAACGGGTGACACAGCCTGCGTTGGGAAGAGTATTAGGCTTACTTGATGCGGATACTCGCCTCACGCCGTGGGGAGGCGATCGCCGCCGCAGAAGCAGCGTATTCGCAACTTATGTTGCTATGTATTGGGGAAGCATGGGTCGTGGGAGGAATCGCAAGAATAGACCGCAGGTGGGCTGACTCGGAAGAAATGGAGACCACTGACGGTGCAACGGTCATGCTAGACGCCTGAGGAGGCAAGGAAGGTAGGGAGGTTAAATGCGGGTCCCCTTTGCATGAGTCCATCAAATGAAGCCTGTATCCTGAAGTCCTTGTCGATTAGTGGTTAAATCATCACGTTGTGGTGTTTCACTTCAATCCGTGAAGCCGTGGGCTCGACTCCCACCAGGGACAATGTTCTTTTTGTTCGATCTTGCCTTCCTTTTTTTTTAGCTCCAGTCCAACTGAATTCCAGTAGGTTCCGCGCTTGCCTCGTTCGCTGCAGCTTTTGTCGCCTTCGTCTCTCTCGCCTTCCCACTCTGGCATGTGTCACCTTGCACTGAGCTGGCCCCATCGTTGCGTCGTACTCCGTCCCCGTTGCACTGTCACCTTTGTTTCTCTTTCCCTCCATCGGTAATGGCGAGGGTAAATCGAGCATAAGTAATGCATGAGTACATGAGTGATCAAGCGTTTCACCTTCGAATCCTGACTTTTCATCTTGGACATCGCCCTTCCACGTGTCGATCTCACCTGCTGTCTTTTCTGACCTAGCGCCGGTCCTCTCCGTAGCATACGATTCGCTGTTCGATTTCCCCTCATAGGCCCCATAGGTATCGTGTCGGCAAGTATAATTCTCCAACATGTTGTATCCTCGCAAATTAGAAATCCCGCGCTTTGCACTCTTCTCTTATCACTCTTGTGTGTCTTTTAAGTTACATGGAGAGTGTCCATGTTTGTGCCAATCATCTCACCCATCCTGCCCGCTGCCTTGCTCGCTTCCTCCCTCTTGCTTCGCTCTCTGTGTGTCCACCCCGCTTCCTTCGCTTTGGATCGCCCCTGCCTCCTCGCTTCTTTTGCCCTTACCTTGCCGCGCTTCTCTCGCCTCGCTTTCCTCGCTCTGACCGCCTTACCTCGCTGACGACTTCTTGTTCTGTTTCGCTGGTTACCCCAATCTCCTCGCGTCCCGGCTTGGGACTAATTCTCGAGATGACTGTATTCACAGATGCTCGCATGCGCTACAGAGCTCTGCGTCGGAACTCCCCGCCCGGCCCTCAGCCCACCAATGCTCCAGACTGCCTACCTACTCATCAACTGTTGCACGTGCTCTCTGCCCCCGTTTTTCCAATCATCAGCACAAAGCGAGAATACAACGCTGTCCCGTCCAGCCTTTGGACTCTCCGGGTCCCCATCCCGTATCGGCCGGCCATTCCCTTCCATCCCGCCAAGCATCACCCACGTCCACCGCATCACGCCCTCCTCCTTGAACCCCATCCGTTTCGCCGTTGCACATGACGACTTGCTCTCTGTGTGGTCCGTCCACTGCACGCGCACGAACCCGTGCCCGGGCCGCTCCGGCACGTTCGGTGGGTCGAGGCAGTAGTTCAGGAGGAGGCCGACCGCGTTCGTGGTAACGTAGGTGCGCTGGAAAGCGGGGAACACGAGCGCCCACGCAATCTCTATCCTGAAGAACGTCGGTGATGCATTGATGAGCCCGATCACGCCCGCGAGCGCGCCTCCGCGGGCCTTGTCGATGACCGCGAAGAGGATACACATTGGGAAGCTGCGCATGAAGGCCTCGATCGTCGTCAGGATCTTGTCTAGGTTGGAGAGATCGATCGGGAAATAGCGGTGTAGCTCGGGGTGGGCTGTGACCTGCTCCGCGTATTCTTTCGCGTGCAGGGAGGGGATGAAAGGTGTCAGTTTGACGCGCTCGGATTCGAGCGTCGCTTCGTGGAGGGGCAGGAACCAGTTGATGTCGTATGGGTCCGGACCATAATTTCCAGTCGAAGGGGCGGGGGCGGGCTTCTCAGAAGAACTCGTATCTGGGTCTGCCATGTGTAGGGATAACAGTGGAGTAGTGTTGTGTCTTTGCAGCAGATGCGCGATGGCGATGCGCCACGCTATTATACTAAGGCTATCTGACTGGCGACTGCCCAGAAATACTGTATTGTTTGACCACCTTATTGTTACGCGGATCAGCCCCGAGTAGGACGAAGCCGCTTATTGTTTTGGAATTTCTCAGCCGCCCAATTGGAGGTGAGTTCACGCTGGAGTAATTACCTCCTTAGCTTCTGTACTTTACGCCACGAGAAACACTCGCTTTCAATATGTATGCATGACTGGTCCGAGGTCTGAGTGCGGGCAGGGTAATCGTGCCTAATTAGGGGGAAATTTTTGTCGTGTGCGACCGCCGACGCCATCGCCGCCACCCGCAGTTTGGGTCGGGTCGACCGCGCCGCGGATACGGAGTGCACACGCACAGCTCGTCAACGCATAAAATGAAGCACGTATCCCCCATGGCCTCACCCTTTGACTTGTCAGCTGCGCTGCACTACTCCTCTATCTTCACTTACAGGCTGTGCCTCCTCTCACTTCCGCTGGACGGAATTTTTCGTAATGTTTGCCACGGCCACCCTTGCGTCACTTCTCCCTCTCCTCGTGTCCTCTGCCTATATAGCCCACCGCTTCCCCGGGCCCACATCCACGGAGACTCCCACATCGGTGTCTGCCCAAGAAATCTCGAACAAATTCGTTCGGCCCGCACAGTTTTCACAGCTCGCTTACTGTTCAAGCAGCCTTATTAAATCGTGGAATTGCGGTTCGTCGTGCCAGGCGTTGCAAATGGGCAGCTTCACCCCAATCACTGTTGGAGGTGGTACGTTTAGCCGGTGGTGATTCCTCTTGGATTTATGTCTGATAATGTATGCTGCAAGATGGCCAGAGTGTCCCATATTGTAGGTCCTTGATCGACAACATGCATGGTTAATACCGTAGGTTCATTACGGCCCCTTAGTCTTTGTCGGTCACGACAATATGACTCAGAGTATTGTCGTTGCGCACCAGGGCACCGATCCATCGAGTATGTAAGTTCCCATGAGAATGAAACTCCAAATTCTCACCCGTCCTGATCCTGATCCCTTAGCCGCTCCCTCCTCAATGATGCCGAGTCCGAAATGGGACCCATGAGCCCCACACTATTCCCCAATGTCGGCAGTACGCTTTTGTTCTCTTAACGATCCTTCTCGCTTTGCTTAATATCTACACTGCGCATCTTAGGTGACGTGCGGGTGCACACAGGCTTCGCGCGTGCCCACGGCCGCTCTGCTGATGAGGTGCTGTCGGCCGTGAAGTCTGGGTTGCAGAGCACTGGGACGAGTAGCGTCCTCGTGACCGGGCACAGCCTCGGCGCGGCCATCGCAGCGATGGATGCCCTCATGCTCCACCAGAACCTCGATCCATCTGTCTCGATCAACACAGTCGTATTTGGGCTCCCACGCGGAGGCAACGATGCATTCGCCAACCTTATTGATTCGCAGCTCGGCATTCAGTTCACCTATGTGACGCACGGGAACGATCCTGTGCCGAACCAGCCCCCGCGCTCCTTGGGGTATCAACACTCCTCAGGCGAGGTGTACATCCCTAGTAGTGGCGAAGCGGGCACCGTCGCGTGTGCTGGGCAAGAGAACTTGCACTGCGTGGAGGGAAACTCGGTCCTGCACGCGAGCATTTCCGACCATCTGGGACCCTACTTCTCTGGCACGATGATGGGTAGGAGCGCTTGTCCACTATGAGCGCAAGATTAGAGTGGAGGAAAAGGGACAGGTGAAGTGGGCATGACAACGCGATAGTCAATCGTATATCGTAGTTTGCTGCCGACTCTCCGTGCAGCGTTTCACTTTCTGGGTTTATTTGTGCACTTAACACCATGCTATAATTACCACGCGAGCTCGAACGGCCAAATTTTTGAAAACACTAATGGACGCCAAATCAAGAGAGAGGCGGCTTTCGGAGTAGGCGTAATGTGGTACACTCCGTGGTTAACACAAACAGGGACGCTCCAAAATCTGATTTTCATATCCGTCCGTGCTCGCTCGAGAATGTGCCTCACAACTACGGTCATACTTTGACACCAAAGAGCCCAGCTCTGGTGAGCATGACTTTCCAGTCGTAGCTTGTCACGGTTAATTCGACGCCGAGCTTCATGAACACTCCTCAAGCTTCCACTGATTAAGCGAGCTCATATTTCGTGTGCGTATATGGTGACAAGTGGCGCGATAGTGATATTAGTCCATCGATAAGATTGGACGAGGGTGACAGGCTAAATAAATATGGTATATACGCAGTGTTACCACACAACTTTACTGTAAATTGAACTTTGCTGGCAATTAGAAGCCATGAAATAATGGTTGGGATGAGTAATTCGTTACTAGCTTTGCAACTCACTCAGTTAGGACGTCCCAGTAAATTCAGGCCCACGTTTTCGAGGACACCAACATTACGGCAAAGTTGATTCCGTGTCCGATTCACGTGGAAACAAGACACAGAAAGAGGTCCGATAAATATTGTGGGAGACCTCCGTGGAAAAGAACTAGTATTACTGTTTATGAGTAATGGAGTCGGAACACAATATTATTGGCTGGTTCCAGCTCGTGCGTCTGCGGATGGATATCGAGCAAGGGCAGCCTGGCGCTCGAAGACGGTGCCTGCAGGTTCCGGGAGTTTGCCGTGTTGGAGATCCGGATGCAACGGCGATGGCAATCTCATATGAAATGATTCAGTTGGGTGTGAACGGTGATCAAATGCGACCATGCCGTGACCGGTAATGCGCAATCGGAAAAAAAGTATGTCGCAGATCATGTCGCACCTGCTGGGACTGGAAAGTGGTGATAAAGAAAACAACCACACGATGGGCGATGGGCTTTGACGAGTTGCAAAACAATCGCGGTCGAGGGCCATCAATCGGGAACGGCCGAGAGAGAGAGACGGCAGGAGCGGACAGACGGGTTGCATTGTTTTTTGGTGTTGCCAAGCCAACATTGGGAGGTACCGATATCCTTACATAATCAAATTGCTGTGGCTCCACCGCACGGCATTTTGACCCGGCGTGGGCGTGGACCCGTTCAGCGCCTCCCGAAAATCAACCCTGATAAAATGAGAAGAAAGACGGCAAGCCGAAATCAACTTTCCCTCTTCTCTTGCACAGACCACGTCCCATTCTCTCCCGTAGTCGTCACTCCATGTCTGGCTATTCCTCTATATTCTCCTCCGGTCTTCTCGCTACTCCACGGCCAAACCGCCACGCCGACCCTACCCCCTCTCGGCCAGACAGCCCCATAAACGTCGATAGCGATTCAGACACCACGCCCACAAAGCTGCGTGCGGTGCTGATTCCCTCCTCTGAAGAAGTGATAGAC